CATGGACATAATGTCAAATAAAATCAGTAATTCTTACCGATGAAATGATTCATCGAAAATCGTAGGTTTATATTATATTACTTAAAATAATATAATATAACCGACTATACAACTCAATTCAAATTGTAAAACAAATATTACGCGTGCACCTATTAAGTTTCTATCTTCTCCTATATGAAATCATATCATAGAATAAAAAAAAAATCACCGAAAAATGTCAAGGGGGTGGTGCCCCTTCCGGCTAATAACTCAGTGGGGAGACTTAGCCCCCCCCCTCCGCCACAAGTGCTAATCGTGCCACTGATGCAAGTATGTATAATATTACGATGGCCCGTGGTGGCGGCGGTGGTGGTATTTCAGTGGTTGGGATACGACAGCGACTTGTAGTCAGCCCCACAGAGAAACACTCATTTCACCGCGTATAGGTATAAAATATTATACACTTTCTCGCGCGTCCTTCTTCTCCGGACGTCGCCGCCGCCGCCACCGCTGCCGTCGTTGTCGTGGTAGTCGTCGTCGTCGTCGTCGTTGCCGCCGTTGCTGTCGCCGTCAGTGTCCGATTTACTTCCGGCCGACCCAACGGGGCACCGCGCAACACACACACATACACACACACACACGCGTGCGCGCACACACTCRCACCACTTATACATTCACTCACACACTCACACTTGCACACGCACAGAATCGCGCGAAGAACGTACCACTACAGCGCACGCGATCACGAGTGTCGGCAGTTCGCGAACCCAGCCGGTACTACACCTATATGCGACCTCGTGAAAACATCGCGATTTCAACTCGAATCCGTGAACATAACTGTCYCAATCGTCATTTATTCGCTTCGTTGTAATTATAATTTTTCGAATTARTATTTCGACCCATTTATCCCGCACAACCCGCCGATCGCTGCTGCGGAAAACCGGAAATTTTCTTCGCTGCCAAGTGTCACCACCGGTGCTTATTCGTCGTTTTTAGTCTCTGCTTTCTACGCTATCGATACCTACCTATTATATATCATATCATAATATATAAATTAAACGCCGACGGTTGAACTTATTGTATTTTAGCCGAAGACCAGTCACCGTCTCAGTGCGCCCCAGGTACGTACACGCATTGTAGTCACATCTCGACGACGTTTTGCGATTATATTATAAATATACAATTATTTCTATTATTACCGATACATTATACTGTAATATATACAATAACATATACCAAGCAATGCGCTATTATTACGCTTTTTTGTTTACCCACCGCGTTTATTTATTGAATATAGTTTTTTTTTTTTTTCGTTTTTCGCGATCACGGTTTTCCTCGAATCATTATCAACATTTTTCAGCTTGAGGAAAACTGTATACCTGCTTAAGCACACACGGCTGGCGTAGAACAGAGGTCTGTCGATTATATTATTTTGCGATGGTTTCATATAATTTAACATAATATCTTAAAACTGTCCATAGGCATAGATTAAGAAGGGTTACGAGGGATAAACCCRCTCAAATAATTAATGAGCCACCTCCAACCCATMCCCAAAAAAGGTACACATTTGATGAACACTATTATTTTATACCGTGGTGGCATAGTATATTAGTATTTGAATGATTTTTACTAATGATTTATATTCGATTATATATTTATCTCAAAATTAAAGCATTATACTATTCGATAAAGATTAAAAAGTTCAACACGTTTTTACTGTTGTCGTGATATTGTTCGAATTATTTGATTAGTGATGTTTGAATACAATACACCAACTGTCACTATAATAAKAAAACAATTTGTTTATTATATTATGAATCGCGTTGGTTTTTAACATAGGCGTGCCATTTTGTTTTAGGGGTGAGGGAGTTAAACACACAATTCTCTCATGATTTTTGCGTAATCAGTAATATAGTATGGCTTAGGAATAAAAATATTATTTTTTTTTTTTTTTTGGAGGGGGATGATTATGTGCATTTGTTAATTTTATTATTGTAAAATGTAAAAATTATTTTCCCTTATTGTGTGTTTAAATCTCCACCTATGGAGATTTGGTTAGATGTCAAACCACGGCGGCTATTTGCGATTTCTAATCCGTGAATTACCTCTAGGTATATTGCAATATTCGCAGTGCATCTGACAATAATAACGGACGAGTTTATCGTCAYCAACAAAAGCGCAATGATACTGTGCGACAGACTGAACAACGGTGGGTTACAATTTTCGATCACTATAATAGTGGTGGAGTGCAGGTCGTCGTTGTTTTCGATATATAGTTTTGTTTGCGTCAAGTCAAGTGTTTGTTCAAGCCCAGACACCCCATTTATATACAAATATAGGTATTTCGTCATTCAGCGCTAAGGGTGTTTTTTTTTTTGTTTTCACTCGTCATTAGTCATTACATAATAATAATAATATTTTAATACATATTGCTATGTACATTTCGTATTAACTATTAACGGCCCGCAAGCAGCTGGGAGATACCTGTCATCGAAAATATTCCGAAAACAATTTATTTGATCGAACCGAGATCATGTGTGTACGAAAATAATATTATTGATAAGTAAATATGACTCGTACACAAAGAACGATTGAATAATATAGGATTTAATATTTTAATTTGTATAATATATATGATATATGTTATATATCGTTTATTGAGTAAGACCCGTCCCTCCATATTGGTAAACCTCCATATTTACATAATGTATACTTTTGCAGTATACTCACTACACCAATGAATATATAAATAATCTTAAACTATAAAATAATTTTTTATAGGATATCAYGTATATTGAGTTTTTAAAATCATTTAGTCGAAAGCGTATAAAATGATCTATAATATAATCAGCCGCATACTAAATACCACAATAATAATAATTTCGTTTCATACAGCGATCATACAGACGCTTCTGTTTTATGTTCCACTGTTATGATATATATTAAAATATATTTTAAACACAATAGGTATGTATCATCAAAGCAATTCAACTAAGATCTTTTGGCCATGTATCACATTCACAGAAGTAAAAACTCGTTTTCCGTGTATAGAGAGACTGATTTTAAACAAGATTGAATGAAAGTTCGCTTTTGTTCTTTACGTCAAATTTAATAATATGCTACGTAATTGATTTATATCTATTATTTTGTCGCAATAGGTTTTTTTTAATCAAACAAATTCATTAAAAATATTATGTTTTAAAACATGACAATTAATAAAAATACGTAGGTACCACCTATGTGGTACGAACATAAAGACGATTTCTATAATGAATTTATTACCCACTCTCAACGTCCACCGTCACTATAGGTTTTCTTCAATTTTTTTTAATCGGGTTTTTTCATGAATTTCTTTAGACTAAAAATTACACCAAAACTATTTATACACTTTTCCGTCTGGCGCCAGATTGTCTTCAGAAATGGACAACTAACATACATGCGTACGATAGTGACAACGCTGGACTGCTTAATTTAAAGTCTATGACGCGGACTTCTGAATTTTCGTGAATCTAAAAAAATTATTATTTTCGTTGAATTGTGCCATCATCACTCGTAATATCGATTTTTACGTCTTGCAGATCCGTTTGAATAATTAAACCCTAAAAATAAATCTCGTTACCACGTTACAAAATTACTTCAAAGAAAATATCAAAAAAACGAAGATTTTAGTTTTAAATGACTTAAAAACACTAYCTACTTTGAGATGGAAAATTCTCAAAAAATACAAACTAAAAACACGTATGTAACATAAAAATATATTATATTACGAACATTGCGTAGGATTGGCTTTGTGGACAGTACAATAAGAAAAGTTCATCGAAATCTCAGCTCTAATGACATTTTGAAAAAATCGATTTCCTCACTTATATACCTACGCCGATGTTAATGATTAAATAGTTAGGTTGGATTTAATAATTCCATTTCAGACCTAAAGTAATACTGCACTACAAAGACTCGTCTAACTGTTATACTTACCTATGTGTATCATATTTTGTGTAGGTGTATGATTTTTTTCCACGCGATGATTCGACWGTGAGAGCTATTGCTCAGCGGCAAAAGTATTCGGAAATAGGTAAYTTACCATATAGATATAATATTTATGGTCGCCGGAGTGTGTAATTGACCAGATTGGTCAATTACTGTATGAACTGGTGCGTATACCATGAGAAATAAGAACGGACGAATCTTCAATGGCAATATATATCAATACCTAGAAAAATCGAATAATAATAAAAAAAAAAATTAAATGTTATTGGTACTGATCAAAAATCGTATTTTAAAACGCCACCAAACATCAGTGGATGGTGTATAAAAGTGGTTTTTGTTTTTACTAAAGTATACTGCGAGTATAATAYAGGTGATAGGTATATTATAAGCGCGTATAGGTAGTCAAACCTTTATTATATTCATAGTGTCATTACCATGTAATTGCTTTAGAGAAATATATTATTAATTATTTTTTTTAACACTCGTGCGTTATGGTTAGCGCTATTATAGCCAGTAGTGCGGTGTGCATATAATACTGTTRTGGCATATTTTTATCGAACAAACATCAGCTATTCTAACTGCAGCGCGTTTTCCACGCGCACCACTATCGTCAATTACATTTGTTGGATTAGATTCAATTCGTACGATCCTTAACAACCACCCCCATATTAATGGCCATTTTCAATGAAACTACGACGTATATAATACACCCTTTAAGTATAGATACTTATTAATATATATTTTCTAAGGACTACTTCCGAACGTAATCGAATAAACGACCGACGGGAAGACTGCTTTGACATCTCGGTCAATACAGCAGCACGATAGTATACATCATAGTATTATGATTATGCTATAATATTGTACAAGGTGATCCGCCTAAGTGTATACGCTAATTAGTTCTAAAAGTCTTAACTTTTTTTACATAATTATTGATTATACCATTGATATGTTATATAGCGACACAGGAGTATCCATCAAAAATCAAAATGTTGGTCCTTTGATACTACTTGCTATACCTACTGATCTGCAGTAATTTAAGCACTTGCGAGTATAATAATGAGAGTTATAATTAATTATAAACTCGTTAGAAATATGGATTATTAGTATGAACTCCTTAAAATGTTCTGCTTTAGGATACGAAATTAAATATGAACATAAAAAATATATAATTTTTTTTAGTTTCTCAATGACATAATATAATCAATAAACATCCTGAAAAACTGTTTGAAATAATTATATGTAGACTCTTAAAAATATCACTTTGCAGTATAGCGAAACGATTTGTCATTTTTATTTGTGTTTAAACCATTTGTTTCGGAATTAGGTACCTACCTATTGTTTTTGTAGCAGCTGTTAAAAAAAAAAAAA